CCACCACAGTGTTCTTTTTCCCTACCCTCCCATGTACCTTAGTGTCCTTCCTTAATGTTCCTCCCTCCCCCCTAGTGATCTTTCTACCTCCACCCCTTTCCCACAGTGTTCTTCACCTCCCTTCCCTCCCCATAGGTGTTCCTTTCCACCCCCACCCCTGTCCCATAGTTTTCTACCACCCCGTCCCAGCAGTGATTCTTACTACGGTTCCATAGTGCTCATTCCCCTCCAAGGGACGGGGGACGGTAAGGATCACTATGGGACGGGGGTGGTAGAACTCTTGTGCCACCTTATGAACGCGCCGGCCCACCCATTCATTATCTGTATTGCCGGTGATTACCGATACACACCAAAAATAATAATAAATTAAAATCGGATTATTGTCCGATATCGGCAAAACTGATAATCGGGCGATACCTAGTATTAACACTGCAATGCAAACATTTTACATTGCTGAGTTAAGGAAACAGGGACAATGCACCCAGACCACTTCAATGGTGACTAAAGCTAGGGTTACCAGATTTTCAGGGACACAAATCACGTATATATATTGATGGGCAGCACATGAAAAGGGTTGCCCTGTAGAATTCGGAAGGAGTATAAAATTAAGTTATTACGCAGCGAAGAATCCTGCTGAATATGCATCATATGTACTTTTCATGCGTTTTCATAAATATGACAAAAAGATATGTGTCCCTGGTAACCCAACATTTAAGGGCTACACAAAACACCACAAGCACTACAGTTTATTGTAGAGGTTAAAGTGAACCTGTCATGCCACGCTCAACTAAACATATAAACAGGTTCCAACGCAGCAATATGTCATTAAAGGGACACTATAGTCACCTGAACAACTTTAGCTTAATGAAGCGGTTTTGGTGTATAGAACATGTCCTTGCAGCCTCACTGCTCAATCCTCTGCCATTTAGGAGTTAAATCCCTTTGTTTATGAACCCTAGTCACACCTCCCTGCATCTGACTTGCACAGCCTTCCATAAACACTTCCTGTAAATAGAGCCCTATTTAGGCTTTCTTTATTGCAAGTTCTGTTTAATTAGGATTTTCTTATCCCCTGCTATGTTAACAATGTTAATAGCTTGCTAGACCCTGCAAGAGCCTCCTGTATGTGATTAAATTTCAATTT